GCATGGTATAGGAGATGGTCTGAGACTGCAGATACACTAATGGTGACCATGCTGTTTGTTTGCACTAAAAACAGGCCCTTACCCATCTATTGAGAGTTCCTGGGTTCTTTCATTGGATGGAGATGGTCATAGACTGCAAACACAGCAATGGTCAAAGTCTACAAGCATGGTATAGGAGATGGTCAGAGACTGCAGATACACTAATGGTGCCCATGCTGTTTGTTTGCACTAAAAATGGGCCCTTACCCATCTACTGAGCGTTCCTGGGTTCTTTTATTGGATGGAGATGGTCATAGACTGCAGATACATTAATGGTGCCCATACTGTTTGTTTGCACTAAAAATGGGCCCTTACCCATCTATTGAGCATTCCTGGGTTCTTTCATTGGATGGAGATGGTCATAGACTGCAAACACAGTAATGGTCAAAGTCTACAAGCCGGTATAGGAGATGGTCTGAGACTGCAGATACACTAATGATGCCCATGCTGTTTGTTTGCACTAAAAATGGTCCCTTACCCATCTACTGAGTGTTCCTGGATTCTTTCATTGGATGGAGATGGTCATAGACTGAAAACACTAATGGTCAAAGTCTACAAGCATGGTATAGGAGATGGTCAGAGACTGCAGATACACTAACGGGGCCCATGCTGTTTGTTTGACAACCCTCTGCTTATTACCCCATAAAATGGCCAGAACTGATTACTAACATTCAGCTACTAATGACTTCAATAGGGTTCAGATTTGGCACCCAAACTTTACTCATGTTCACCAAACCTGGGTGGTTTTGGCTCATCCCTAAAGGTCTGTGCAGAAAAAAAGTAATCTAATGTAAAAGAAGTAAAGCAAACCATTTACCTGATAAAAGCCAGTCAATAGAGGATTTTCGTTCACTAAACCTGGTCATAGATGGATAAAGGTTTGAATGAAAAATCTTTGGAAAATTCGTCCTAACATTCTCAGAACATTTGTTTATCGTTCAAAAGATTGTGTTTGATTTTAACATCTGATTTTGGAATCAATGGACTTTACCAAAACGAACACCACATAGCCTTTTAGAAATGTGTTCACTTGAGAAAAAGTTTTTGAATTTGCCTGTCCAGTAGTCAAAAATAAACATCAGATTGACCCACTAATGATTCGAAAAATGAACACATTTTCCTAAAACATTCATTTTTCAAGAATTCTCATTTAAAGTTCTACCCATCTATGGACAGCCTAATGCCTTCTGAGGCCCTAAAGCAAGCCATACATGACATCAAGAAAAAGCAAAACCAGCGCTCAGGTCTTAATGCACCACAGGAACACGATTTCTGTCACTCGCTGAGGTGCAGCCCTCTAAAGATCGAGGAATCTTGATATTACTAGAAGAAAACACAAAAAGGAGCACTCTCCTCGTGCACTACCCTGATAAAAAAGGATTGATTAAAAAATAGATAAATGTATACTCACAACCCAAGGGTCATGTAAACAGACAAGGAATTAAAGGTAACAGTCCCAGACAATAGAGGTCCTACGACAGAGTACTCTAACATGTTTCGGGAGTTGAACTCCCTTCCTCAAAGCTGAAAACACTAGACATGGTGGAAGCCCATATATGAGCCCAAATGAGCAATTGATGTGAGAGGCCAAAACCACACCACCTCCCTGGTTTTGGCCTCTCACATCAATTGCTCATTTAGTCTCTTACTACTTTTGCTCCCCTATACATGGGCTTCTAACATGTCTAGTGTTTTCAGCTCTGAGGAAGAGCGTTCGACTCCCGAAATGCGTTAGCATACTCTGTCATAGGACCTCTATTGTCTGGGACTGTTACCTTTTGGTTCCTTGTCTGTTTACATGACCCTTGGTTTGTGAGTATATAATTGTCTATTTTTTAATAAACCCTTATTTATCACGGTAATGCACGAGAAGAGAGAGCGCCCTTTTGTGTTTTCTTCAAGCCATACGAGTCGAAAAATGAAGAATTCTTCAAAAGAACACTGAAATTGTCATTCAGTTTTTCATACAATTGCGCCATCCTTGTTCGGAAATCGCCCTGCAAAAGCCACAGTTTTTTCCTTCATTTGCCTTTTGTCCTTTCATTTTGCATTTCTTTTCAATTTTTTTTGTGAACAAGTCTACCATCAATGATTAGAAAATTCTTCATTCTAAACCACTGGATGCTAAGTCACACACATGTACATGATTGTGTTCATGCAACTTAATTTATAACATTTGTATTGTGTTTTTTTCTGGATTTTTGTTTTATATTCTGCCTCTATCATTTAAAATACACTTATGATAAAAATTATAGACCCTTCATTTTTTTTGATTTAATATTATTTTTTTTTTATTTTTAATTTAATATATAATATAATAAATTTAATTTTTTTTATTTATTATTTTATTATATTATTAAATATTTATTAAAAATTATTTTTTTTTAATTTTAAAATATATTAAGTGGTCAAACTTACAAAATCTGTGGAGAATTAAATAATGATTTAATTATTTCCCCAAATATATATATATATATATATATATATATATATATATATATATATACACACTGCTCAAAAAAAAGTAAAGGAACACTTTTTAATCAGAGTCTAACATCAAGTCAATGAAACTCCTGGGATATTGATCTGGTCAGTTAAGTAGCAGAGGGGGTTGTTAATCAGTTTCAGCTGCTTTGGTGTTAATGAAATTTAACAACAGGTGCACTAGATGGGCAACAATGAGATGACCCCCAAAACAGGAATGGTTTTACAGCTGGAGGACACTGACATTTTTTCCCTAATCATCATTTTTGACTGTTTTTCACCAGTTTTGCATTTGGCTAGGGTCAGTGTCACTACTGGTAGCATGAGGCGATACCTGGACCCTACAGAGGTTGCACAGGCAGTCCAACTCCTCCATGATGGCACATCAATACTGGCCATTGCCAGAAGGTTTTCTGTGTCTCCCACAGTCTCAAGAGCATGGAGGAGATTCCAGGAGACAGGCATTTACTCTAGGAGAGCTGGACAGGGCCCTAGAAGGTCCTTAACCCATCAGCAGGACAGGTATCTGCTCCTTTGTGCAAGGAGGAACAGGAGGGGCACTGCCAGAGCCCTACAAAATGGCCTCCAGCAGGCCACTGGTGCAAATGTCTCTGACCAAACAATCAGAAACAGACTTCATAAAGGAAGCCTGAGGGCCCAACGTCCTCTAGTGGGCCCTGTGCTCACTGCCCATCATCATAGAGCTCAACTGGCATTTGCCATTGAACAACAGAATTGGCAGGTCCACCACTGGCGCCCTGTGCTTTTCACAGATGAGAGCAGGTTCACCCTGAGCACATGTGACAGACGTGAAAGGGTCTGGAGAAGCCGTGGAGAACGTTATGCTGCCCGTAACATCGTTCACCATGACTGTTTTGGTGGTGGGTCAGTGATGGTCTGGGGAGGCATATCTATGGAGGGACACAGAGACCTCTACAGGCTAGACAATGGCACCCTGACTGCCATTAGGTATCAGGATGAAATCCTTGGACCCATTGTTACACCCTATGCTGGTGCAGTGGGTCCTGGGTTCCTCCTGGTACATGGCAATGCCCGGCATCATGTGGCGAGAGTATGCAGGCAGTTCCTGGAGTATGAAGGAATTGATACCACTGAATGGTCCCCACGCTTGCCTGACCTAAATCCAATAGAACACCTCTGGGATATCATGTTTTGTCCATTCGACGCCACCAGGTTGTACCTCAGACTGTCCAGGAGCTCAGTGATGCCCTGGTCCAGATCTGGGAAGAAATACCCCAGGACACCATCCGTCGTCTCATTAGGAGCCTCCCCCGATGTTGTCAGGCATGCATAGTGGGGGCCATACAAACTACTGAGGACCATTCTGAGTTGCTGCAATGACATTTCAGCAAAATGGACTCGCCTGCTGCATAATTATTTCACTTTTATTTTGGGGGCATCTTTGAATTCAGTCCTCTGTAGGTTGATAATTTTTATTTCCATCAAACGATGGGGCATCCTTACGTTCCTAACACATTACCCAGTCCATATCAGTATAGATATCCTGCATGATATTTTTCCCCATTGAGATCTGATGGGTTTTCACATTTTTTTGAGCATTTCAGCAGTGTATATATATATAATATTTGGGGGTTCCAAGTAATTTTCTAGCAATAAATACAGATTTTTACTTATAAATAAAAAGTGTTAGAAAAGGCTTGGTCTTCAAGTGGTTAAAGAAATTTCCAACATTTTCGATCGGTCATTTTCGATGACCACATAAAAATCAACTGTTGCTGTGGGCATACTAACATACCTGACTCAAGAGGTTAACGTGATCCGAGCCGCAGACACAGACTAGCAGACAGTGTAACAAAACAATGCTAATTCGAGTGCTTATCAACACATCACCCGGCAGAGGGAAACAAGATGCTGAAATGTTTGCAGTTGGTGATTGTTTGATGAAGTGTGAAGAAGCAAGGAGCACTGAATGAATTTCATCAGATCTGCCCGTAGTGTATGGGCGCGTGTGTGATATCCGCCGTTTGATGTATAAGGTCAGGGAAGGATACGGGAAAACTGGATGAATCGGAAGGATGAAAGGGAATGAGAAACAGTGTTACTTAAAGCCAAATTTGGCCTCAACAGAGCTTTTCCTATCATGTGTAAGTTGGCAAAGGTATACCTGTGCATTATGGCACACTTATCTACAACCCCAATTCCAAAAAATCCCAACAAATTGGAATTGGGGTTCTTCTTCTTTGGCTTCATTGGCTGAGTAGAGATGACGTAACACTCATACCAGCACCCGGCCCTTACAGATGTCGGGATTGTACTCTGATCTATGTATGTTTAGCTGTCGTTATAAAATTCATAAAACTGCTAGATGACACAGGAAGAGATTTCACACTGGAAGACGCTTACAGGGGTCCATTTATAAGAAACACAATTTGCATAGCCTTTCATCCGCCAATTTGCGTAAACATATGAAAAAAAAACAACATTCTTTAGTCCAGGGCAGGGGCGGACAGACAACTCATAGGGCCCCCCGGTCAATAGGGGATCATGGGGCCCCTGTGTCCTTGCCCAAACTCAAAAAATCCTATGAAAAAGGTACCAGGGGCATCTCATGGGGCCCCCTACTGACCCTGGGCCCTTGGGCAGTGCCTGAGTTTCCAAATGGTCAGTCCGCCCCTGGTCCAGGGCTTAAAATTTCAAGTCCTGAGCTACTAGCCAGGCCTTAGAGTTACTCGCCACCAACTAACACACACACAAACAGAGATACCTGTACACACACACAGACATGTACATACACACACACAGAAACATGTACACACATGCACAGAGACACATGTATACACACATACATACAGACACATGTATACACACAAAGGCATGTACAGACACACATACACACACAGATACATGTACATACACACAAATACACATGCACAGACACATGTACATATACACACAGACACATGTACATACATACACATGTACACACAGCCACATGTACATACATACACACAAACACACACACATGTACATGTGCACACACACACAGACACATGTACACACACACATACATGTACATACACGCAGACACATGTACAGATACACACATGTACATACACACAGACACATGTACAATTGTACATGCATACATAGACACACACAAACACACACACATGTACACACACACACCTATAAAAAGTTGCAGTACTTCGTTGTTCACTCACAGAGCTGGGTACTGCACTCTAGGGGGAGGCAGAGAGCACAGCACACACTCCTTGCTTTGCTTTCACTGCGCTCAGCTATTGAGCAGTCTGACGGCTCCCAGTGACAATGACAGATCCAGCCTGGGCTCCAAGCCTGCTCAGCAAGATGGCCCTGGGGGACACACTCGCCCCCACCATAAGTTCCACTTGCCATTGGCGAGCAGGCGAGTGGAAATTTTAAGCCCTGCTTTAGTCTATGTTCTCTTCTGAACAAACATTGTTTCATGAGCAGCAGAAAAATATCGCATTATGGCCATTAGATGGAGCGGAGGAACTAAGTATGTCTTACAATGTAACAGTTCTAGAGGGCGCTACAGGGAATTACCAAACTAAACCAACTACTGGTTCTCTAGAATTGTTGTACAGAATTCGCAAGAGCAGGGCTTTGTCTGGTAGACTATTTATTTCCTAAAAAAAGGATCAAAATCCTCAGGCTACATTTTATTTAATTTGGTACTTTTCATTATGAGGGACAGCATCATATATTTTACCAATAAAGGTTTATACAGTTACTTGTGAGCCACTGAGGTATTTTAATAAAGTGTTTGCTGGTACCTGTTCACATCCTCATAAGTATGTGTATTAGTATATAAATTGGTAAGTGGTGCCGCGCCCTTATACAATGTTTATATAGAGACTGAAATATATACTATATAATAATTGGTGATGATAATAAACACTACCTGAATAAATCAAGGATAATATACATTTAAATTCAATAAAAATAATATTCCAATATGTGCATGAAAATAAATATTTTCTAAATCATAATAAATTTTGTGTAAAAATACAATATAAATAAGATGAAAATTAAAAACAAAACAAATTTTTTTTTTTACTTCAAAAAGTGTACAAAAATGAAATAAAATAATAAAGTGTCCAAATTTTGTGAATAATAAAGTATATGTCCAAAAATAACTATAGTAAAATCCTCGATTAGATGATGTCACTTATATGTGCTCACCTCTTTGTTATTCTATTGCCCTGCTAACACAGCTTTTGAATAATTATAGTGGATGGGATCCCTTGTAACTCCCCTGGGTTTTTCTGGATGGATTGCTTCTAATTGGAGCTGATGATCTCTGCTTCGTTAAGCTGCTGGTTATGCTTCCATCTCCATGTATGAAGTTAAAAAAGCGCTTTGTACTATGTAAAATCACACTGTAAGGATGTGACAGGCTTCCTCCGTGTATTGCATGCACTGTCTATACTCGCCATGACTGAAGTCGGGTTGCCGTGGTGACGTCAATGCCCCTCCCCAACACATTGCGCCACAGGGTGATGTGGCTTCTTCCGGGGGATGTGATTACATCTTTTGTACACTTTTTTTGAATTTTTTTAAAAAAAAAATTTTTGTTTTTAATTTTCATCTTATTTATATTGTATTTTTACTCAAAATTTATTATGATTTAGAAAATATTTATTTTCATGCACATATTGGAATATTATTTTTATTGAATTTAAATGTATATTATCCTTGATTTATTCAGGTAGTGTTTACTATCATCACCAATTATTATATAGTATATATTTCAGTCTCTATATAAACATCGTATAAGGGCGCGGCCCCACTTACCAATTTATATATTTTACCAATATTCAGATAATTTATTATAAATACATTCATAAAATTAAAATGACTGAATAAATCCTCTTTTTAATCCAGGAGTGCCCAGCAGAGCCTCCCTTACATCCAGATGGTGTTCATACCGTGTAATGGCCATAGATGGAGCTGAGGAGCATAGGTTCTACATACGTCCTGTAACAAGGGATTGAAGTGTCCATTTATGAAGCAGTGGTAATTCATCGCTGAGCAGATCGCTGGCGTTCTCAGAGTGAAGTCTTCTACTCTGAGTGCCGGCTTATTAATCTGTCAAGATTTGTCCACTTCAGGAGAAGAGAAGCGATCTTCAAATGCTCAGAATGCTTAGGAACTACTAATGCAAGGCTGTATTCTCGTGAGAAATCCTGAGCTTACAATGTAGATAATGGAAACGTGAAAGTAAAACACCAAACGCGAACTAATACACTTCTCAATAAAATAAAAAAATAAAAGTTAAAGTTCACCACCCACAAATATAGACACCTCTTTATTTTATCTATCTGTGTATAAATAAAGATTGTGCGATTGGGGTGATTAAACTCAAGCTGTAGGTGCGTTTACAATGAGTTGTGCAGGTCCAAAACTGTATTTTAGGGCATGGCAGCCCACTTTTATTCAAATAAACATCAGTTGCCCACGCAGGGGTTTCTTCAACGTGTTATACACAACAAAAATACCGAGCTGCCTGGCTCACTTGTTGGTAGCACTGCTGCTGCTTCTCTCACCAGTCCCTTCGAATGTATTGTCCAGTTGTCCTGGGTGTTTGGTTTTCTAGCCTTTAGTCGCAGTGCCCTGCTGCACAGCCCAGGGATTGGGGTTCTCCTGACACCCTGATAGCAGCCGACCTGACTCCTGGAACTAAGACCTGCTGTTTCCTGGCTTCTGGCTGGGGTACCTCAGACCCCTGGTTGAGATCCTCTGTGTTAGGGATCCGGGTATGACCAGAAATGTGTGGACTGACACAGGGAAGTAGCAGGCTTCAGGAACACTGGCGTAGTCAGGGCTGGAGAGGTGGAATGGTCAGGCAGGCCGTTGGGAACCGTCAGGCACCGCCCGGCGGGATCTCTAGTACCCACAGAATGGGATTCCCCAGGGCGCGGAGTCTAAGCCCCAGTCTGCCTTTTCACCAGAGCCCCTGATGGTGGGGATGGACTTGGCGCAGGACTGAGACCAGGTCACGGCCCCTGAGTGCACCCAACTGTGGTAGAGGGGTCCGCCGAGGGTATGTATCGTGGGAAAGCCTGACATGAAGAGGCTGGCAGACCTGGTAACAGGGACAGATCCGTGCGGGATGGATGGTCTGGGTAGCGTCAGGCGTAGTCAGGCAGGCCAGGTCAGCAATGTGCGGGCAGCGAGGTACCGGAGGAGCAGGCAGAGAATTGTCAGGGTCACAAGCCGGGTTCAGTAACTCACGGGCAGCGCGGTACAGAGGATCAGGCAGAAGGATGGTCAGGCAAGCCAGGGATCAAGCAGGAGAAGTCAGCAGAGGTCAGGATCAGGCAGGGTCGGCAACAAATCAGATAGTCAGCAGAACAGGAACACAAGATACCAGGTACAGGGGCTCATGGGAAACAATACACCAAGGCACTGATCACAGGCCTGGTCCTGCTTAAATACACCTCCTGCAATCAGCTTCAGCTGATGGCTGACTGCAGGAGTGAGCTTCTGGTTGCTGAGAGCACCCGCTGGCCACACTGCAGCCCACACGGCAGGTGAGTCCCACCACCAGTGGTGAATCCATTCCTGACACTCTGTCTCTGGGCTGGGGCCTAGGGTTGCCACCTAATCCCTTTGAACCCAATCAAACACATATTAATTACACAGGTTCTGTGGCTGATTAAGGTGGTGATTAAACTCACACACTCTCCCTTCTCTGGCCCAGGGGGTGTAAACATTCTCACACTGTCCTGTCCTGTTAGCTTGGTGGGTTGCAGCTGCTTTCAGGCCTTGCACTGGGCTGGCTCCTCCCCGGCTGACAGGATGTCCTCCCTAGGAGACTTATGGCACAGTGGAGATCCTTCCATTCAGCACCAGCCTGTAGGAGCCCAACCTCCCTGGGACCCACTCCCAGGCTCCACACTCCGGCATCTTTCTTCAGTCCATCTTCCACTTGACTTCAGCACTACTCCCTGCTGCACAGGCTCTCTCACATTTAAGGGTTACTCTTGGCCACCATGCCCTGCCTGGGGATTTGCCAAGTTCCCTTAAACATGCAAATCCAGGCTTTGCATGATATTGATCTGGTCAGCTAAGTAGCAGAGGGGGTTGTTTATCAGTTTCAGCTGCTTTATTGTTAATGAAATTAACAGCAGGTGCACTACATGGGCAACAATGAGATGACCCCCAAAACAGGAATGGTTTTACAGGTGGAGGCTACTGACATTTTTTTCCCTTTTCATCTTTTCTGACTGTTTTTCACTAGTTCTGCATTTGGGTAGGGTCAGTGTCACTACTGGTAGCATGAGGCGATACCTGGACCCTACAAAGGTTGCACAGGCAATCCAACTCCTCCAGGATGGCACATCAATACGTACCATTGCCAGAAGATTTGCTGTGTCTCTCAGCAGTCTCAAGAGCATGGAGGAGATTCCGGAAGACAGGCATTTACTCTAGGAGAGCTGGACAGGGCCGTAGATGGTCCTTGACCCATCAGCAGGACCGGTATCTGCTCCTTTGTGCAAGGAGGAACAGGATGAGCACTGCCAGAGCCCTACAAAATGACCTCCAGTAGGCCACTGGTGTGAATGTCTCTGACCAAACAATCAGAAACAGACTTCATGTGGGTGGCCTGAGGGCCCGACATCCTCTAGTGGGCCCTGTGCTGACCTCCAGTAGGCCACAAATGTGAATGTCTCATTGTCAGACCCTATGCTGGTGCAGTGGGTCCTGGGTTCCTCCTGGTGCATGACAATGCCCGGCCTTATGTGGCGAGAGTATACAGGCAGTTCCTGGAGGATGAAGGAGTTGATACCATTGAATGGCCCCCACGCACACCTGACCTAAATCCAATAGAACACCTCTGGGATGTCATGTTTTGGCCCATCTTTGAATTCAGTCCTCTGTAGGTTGATAATTTTCATTCCATCCAACAATGGGGCATCCTTACATTCCTAACACATTATCCAGTCCATATCAGTATAGACATACAGCAGGAGATTTTTCCCCATTGAGATCTGATGGGTTTTCAAAGTATTCCTTTAAATTTTTTTGAGTAGTGTGTATATATATATAAATATATACACACACACGTAAAGTGTTGCGTAAATTTTATTTCAGGTACTTATATAGCGCTGTCAATTTACGCAGCACTTTACATATATATTGTACATTCACATCAGTCCCTAACCCTCAAGGAGTGTACAATCTAAGGTCCCTAACTCACATTCATACATACACATACCAGGGACAATTTAGACAGGAGCCAATTAACCTACCAGCATGTCTTTGGAGTGTGGGAGGAAACTGGAGTACCCAGAGGAAACCCACACAGGCACAGGGAGAACATGCAAACTCCAGGCAGGTGGTGCTGTGGTTGGGATACGGACCAACGACCCTAGTACTGCCAGACAGAAGTGCTAACCACTTAGCCACTGTG